TGTTCCGGTGCGCACCCCACGGGTCACTAAGAGTTCAAGTCGACGTCGACAGACCTCAGAAAACGAGAGAGAAAAGAATAGAGGTGGAGGAGCCAGTTTGTTTTCTTTTCCCACTTTCTCGCATGTTTGTGCACGCGCACTCACACGCACACTGTCCTTGTGTCCTTGCTCGCCGCTCCTCCCTCCCGAAGGCGCATGCAACACAGAAATAGGCCCTGCAGAGCTATGCGAGGTTCCGGCTAAAAACACCCGGTGGTTTTCAGTTTAATGGTGCGAGTCGGGGCTCCGCTCCAGCGGTCTGGTTTATAAACGCAGCTCCAACCGCTGACTGAGGCCCCCCACCCTCACCCACTCGCACTCCTCTCTTCCACCCCCCGTCCCCCACCCCTCCTCCTGCTGCTCCTGCTGCTGCCGACTGCTGTGATGGATTGGGCGGCCGTCGGGAGTTGTTTGTTGCGCAAACTATTCTTAGCAGCGGGGATGGGCGTCAGCAAGCTGCCTTCTCCTGCTTTCCTATCGCTCTCTCGTTCGTTCCCCGTCCCTTCCAGTCTTTATAATGTGACATTTTGTGCAGAATGACTGTCCATAAAACTTAGAAATAAACCGTCTGGGGCTGATACCTGCAGGCTCGTATTATAACCAGGCTTTGGAATCGTGATGTCATTGAATCCAGCAGATGATAATTGCACCTTACTCAATAATTTCATGGTAAAATTTAGCAAAATTTTAAATATGTCGTTTTAAAGGCTACAATTCAACAATAGGGTCAATAGGTGGCAGAAGATACACCGCATCGAAATTTCATAACGAAAATGCGCATCTTAGATATGCAGTCGTGAGTATTGACAAACAATGGCGTTTTGCTATTATATAGACAAAATGTTTATGTCCGAGCAAGGATTAGTGTTCGTGAACACAACATGTGAGGTCACGTGCCACCACGAGTCAATCAGCGGTAGTTGAAAAAAAAAAAAAAAAGAAAGATGGACGCTAAATGTCGCCTTTTCCAGTAGCAACGGACTAGCGGTTTTTTTCGTCGAAGTGAAAAGCTAACCAGTGTCCTCAGTTTTGAGAAGGAGCTGTCATCGATAGTGGAGTCTAATCCGGAGTAGATTAAAGAGTCCGACTGTCAAAATTACCTAGTTTGGATCCACAACAATCACCGTCAGGACCAGTAATTAGAGCAGGTTTGTTTTGAATAGCAAAGAAGCTACATTTCAGGAAAACATGGCTAAATGATATTTAACAGATAGTCACACTTTATTAACAAAGGCATTGTATTGCTATATTTTTCTGTTTTGAAGAGCAAATGTTCAAAAAAAGCCGAAACCCCCTACAAAGTCAAACTTTCATATGTTTGCAGTGATAAACTCGCAGAACAAAGTTGTTGTATCATATTGGGTTACAAACGGGTGTCATGACATTTGCGTAGTACATTTTCTGGTTACCTGTTAGGGCAGACCCAAACAGCCTATTGTCCCCGGATGTGACATCATTTCACAACATCTGGGAAAACATTTTGTGGCCATTATGATGCAGCCTACCAGATGGAACAGAGCTGTTAAGAAGCTGTATTTTAACAGATTTCCTGGTCATGACCTGTATTTATTATATAAACCTATTATTAAACTCTACATTAACAATGCTGGTATTAAATGAACGGCGGTCAACTAAGGGATAATGAATGTGTCCTTAGCCATTTTTAAACATTAACTGTAACAATTAACCTTTTCATATGTAAATGAGACAGTTTTAGGTGGTAAAAATCTTTAATGTTAATTAATTGCGTAATGCACATCAATAAAAACCTTTTATAACATTGGTTTAACAAAAAGTATTGTGACCCATTTTTGGGCTCTTTGAATTTCATTCCTCTAAAATACAAGTTACATTAAACTCAAGTGTAATGTAAAGCAATATTTATAGAATTTCTACAAAAATGCCTTTAACACGTGAGCTTGAACAAAATATGCGTAAAATAGACGTAAAACATTCATTTCATAAAAAAAAAAAATCTAAATGACTATGCTGCAAATGTTGCTGTGTCTGGTTTGTCACTGAACCATGAAGCTCTGTGCGTGCGTTGATGCATTTGTGGCAACTTTTTTGGCTCCTGTGCTTCTGTGGGTAGCAAACAAAAGCTACCCGGCGGCAGCAGCAGCAGCTGAGGCTCAGGCGCACAGCGTGTACTTGATCCTGACCTTGAGGCCCGGTGAGGGACGGTGTAGCCTCTTCATCTCTGCTGGATTACTGTGAATTTAATGGAAATGGATTATGGAGAGGCCATAAGACAGAAGGCCGTCTTTCATTCGTACTGACCCGGACGACAGCAGAACGTTTCCTCTCAGTTCTGGGGCTTTCCCTTTTGTGGAAAGGCTACAAAATAGTGCCAGAAAGAAAAAGCGGAGTTGCCTCGTGGTGAACTTTGTGTTTGGGTGTTGCGTACGTGCTTTCTGTTTGACTTTGTTTTTCAGTTGACAGGCTTTTGTGTGACAGAGTCATACACGTGTGGCTCCAGGACATCTACAGGAAACAGGAGTGAGGTGATTTCCCGGCGCTGTCTGTGTCATTTGCAGTAACGCGCGGGCACATACACACACTCGTGGCTTCGACGCACTTGTGCACAGCCTTTTTGGCACTTAAGCAGCAGCAGCTCCGTCAGATGCGGATATTGTTGAAGCAGATCTTGCTCGGGGGAGCTGTATGTGGCCAGGAGGAGGAGGAGGTGGTAGGGGGATGGTAGCACTTTGCCGAGGAGGAGGAGGGGCGGTACCGAGGGGCCCACGGCAGGCTGATTAATGGGGCCCTGGGTCATGGCAATAAAAGTGGCGTGCCAGCGGCGCGGCAGCGCAGCTCAGAGGCGTTTCTGTGCGATGATGGAGGAGCCGAGTTTCTGTGCTGCTGTCAGCACTGCCGAGCACAGCGAAGCAGGCTCCTGACTATTTAAGGCACCCAAGTCTCTGTGTAGTACTTTAAAGTTTACACCGTGATACTTTGGTGACATACAGATAACTAGACTGCATTTCACAGATGCATCCGGGGCAGCATTTGGGTTTAATTTGATTGCTTTCATTTGTTTAATTTAAGCATCCGTATTTGGACATTTATCCCGTTTCATTTTTACGTCAAATTGCATTTGTTAAATAACAAACAAAGTGAATTGATAAATTGTTTAAAGTTAGCACTTGTGGATAACATAGCTAAAACTTGGGTAGATCACCAAAAAGTAGAAATAGAGGTGGCTAAAGGTTGGCAGTGACATAGCTAAGTTAGCTTAAAGGAAACAATAGTTGAAAGATAGTAAATATATCTGAAGTAAGGCTAGCTAAGATAACTTGAACCACTCTGATTAAGATAGCAATTTAACTTAAAGGTAATTAAACCTAAGTAAGAAAAGGCAAATCAGTTATCTAAAAGGATGGTTCATTGTGGCTTCGAAAAAGTTGCAGTTACAAAAACACACTAAAACTAATAAATGAAATGATCCACATGCGCTCCCCAAATTAAACATTTCACCCAGGTAAATAAAAATAAATTATATTAGTATTGCTAAACTCACAATTTTTATTACTATTGTCAAAAGGGATTTTACAGAAAGATATTGTAAACACAGTTGTAAAAGTTTTTTATTTTCACAGTCAAAATTATTGTTTTTTTTACATTTTTATTTTACTGAAGACACTTACATTTCATCCCATTTCTTTGAATGGTTTTAATACAGTTGAGCTGGTAAGTGTACATATTTAATTATATGGACCATCTATAATTCCCTCCAACAGTAAATTAATTGATATGGTGATCATGTTCAATTAAAAGGACATCAATAATGACTGTTGATCCTAATAGGATTATACTGGATCCCACACTTAAAGGGAACTTTGTATTAACTTTAATTTTCTTTTATTCTTTTACCCAATGATTACTGTTAGACCTGGAGTTTTACTCACTCATGATCAGATATTTTATCTATGTTCTCCTTTTATGTGCTTTCTCAATTTTGTGCTATATTTTGCATAGTTGTCAGCTTTCTCTGGCAAGCTACGCTTATCTCATGTTTTTGTTGATCAGTGGAGCTGCGCTGGCGGGCGGGTAAATGGTCCCCCACCGAAGTGGTCTCTGATGTATAATCTTCCCTCGCTTCTGTGGCTGAGGCAGCTAAAAGAATAGGTCAGAGAGGGCGCAGAGTAACCAGTGTGTGTGGAATGGGACTGAATAGCCCAGGCTCCCCCAATGCTCGTCTAGCCCACAGGGTGGGCAGGATGAGGGTCAGAGTAGGGGAATGGAAGAGTGGGGAGTCGCCAAGAATGGCTGATGGATGGGAAGGGAGGGCAGTGTAGGGGAACCCACACAGTGCTTTCATCTCTCTTAATGTGAGAGTGAGGGGAAGGTTGTGATGCATATAAGTAGCTGTGCTGTTATGTTTTTGTTTTGCCCCTTACTGATGTCAGTAATCTATCATATTGGACTGCTATGTAGTGATAATAAAAACACCTCTCAAATTTTTTTAAAAAACAAATTCCCTTAGTGTTGCTAGTGAGCTATTTCGAACAACAATTTCAACATTCTTTAAAATTTTGTAGCAAAATATTCAAAAATGTCAAACCCACCAATAGTGTGCTCCTGTAGGTAATGCTTTGTTTTCTTTAAGTTCTTTTGCTTTTTTGCAACATTTTCTGTCACTAGTGGGAAGTGCTAAGTGGAGCAATGTTAGTAAAAATTACAATTCGACCTAGTATTTCAATTTTGCTAAATCTCAAATATGTATTTTTCAACAACTCATCATACGTGTTTGCTCTATTGTTATGTTAAAAAGTGAATTCTCTTAAAAATAAAACACATATTTCTGTTTCCATTTGTTTTTTTAAATCAAATTTTGCCATTCAGGTATATTGGCATCACTTGATAATGTTATTACATGTACGTGCCTGTCTGTTGGCATGTGATGGTTCTGTGTGGCACAGCCAAGTTACTAACTGCTAACTGCTTGCTCATCTCCACAGGGCAACATCTGTTCGTGATGTCGATGCTGAGACACAAACAAACCTGGAACTAAGACAAGGGAACCACATCACACAAAACATGGCAAGTCCCTGACTTTGGCCTCATTTCTCTTTATACACATTCTTCAAATGAGTCACTCTTCTCTAGAAATCAGCACTTTCACTGTGCACATGCCTGTGGTGTAGAGCAGTCAGGTTGATGATTAATCACTGTATTCCATGTCTCACATGTTTTCTTTTACTTTACTGATAGTTCCTTTGTCCTATGCTTCAGGTGGATGCAAGGTTGACGCCCCTGGCAGCAATGGGGCTTGACCGAGGCACACTCATGCATGATAGCTTACGCCTTCATGGAGGGGTCGTTTACCCAGGGATCACAGCGCTGCCTGCGGAGAAGAGCAGGGAGGCCCCTGCCCTCCCTCTCACATATAACAGAGATGGCCTCCCAGAGCTAATCTATAAGCCTGATGTCCCTCTAGACAGCCGTAAGCCTGCTAATGGATTCCTAGGCCTGTACAAGGGCACCCCTCCTGGTCTCCACAAACCTGTGCTGATGCCTGGAACTGGAGCCGAAGGTCTAGGCTTGGAACGCAGAGTAGGACCTGGAGAAAAGGGTTCAGAGCTAGGGTTGGCAGGAGCTGGTGGCAGCTATCTCCGCCTACCATGGCTCAGCCCGTACTCTGAAGCTAGCATGTATCACTTTATGGACACATCTAAGTATGCAGCTCTTAATATGTATAAAGCCTCCTTGCTTAGCCAGCCCAACCCCTATCTTCCCCAGCACCTGGCCTATTCTTCTATGTGTGCAGCTCAAGGGGGGAATGTTAACCCTGCTGCATCTGCTGCTGAAAGGCTTTACTATATTCCTCCCTATCCTGCATCTCCCATTTCTTCTCCCCTGGTACCACCACCTATGAGGATTCCTGCAGTTACAGTGGCACCGACGTCACTGGTACAGTGCCAGGACAAGGGGATGGGTGTTCCAGCTGCATATGCAACACAACTCCACCAACATTCTCCTCACCCTCAACACCATCAGGCTACTATTGACAGAGACAGATCGCCAAGCAGAGGAAGTAGACCAAGTAGGCCTCCCTCTAGGAAGAGTGTAAACAACAACAATAGTTTAAGCACTAGTGGCACCAGTGGTGGCAATAATAACCTGACTCCTGAGCTGTCCCTTTCATCTTCTCGCCTGTCTCAGCCTCCTCCTTCTCCTGCTCACCTTGAAAGTTCTGTAGACATACAAAGGCCAGTTGCCAGAATAGGACAGCTTCCAACCTCCTCCACCTCTTCAGTATCTGCTTCATCTTCAGCCATACAGTCCATTCCTCACCCATTCTCTGTGAGCTGTATAGCATCAGAGCAGCATTCCCCTGCCCGACCCAGCCCGCAGAAACCCAGGTCTAGAGATGGGGCAACTGAGCACAGAGGTGTAGGAGTTGAGAGGAGACCCAGCAGGTCACCCTCCAAACCTAATTTTGAGAGGCAACCTCACCAACCCAATGCAGCCAAAGACTCTGCTGAGAAACCTTTAGATTTGTCAGGAAGGATACTTGAGTTTGGACTGCCTCACAATGGTTTCCAAGTGAAAATAGACACTATGACACCAAACGCACGTTACGGTCTACCCCCTAGCCGAGAACACCTCAAAGAAAACATGACCCTTCCCCCTTCCTCCCTTTCTCACTCTGTGGTCAGCAGCACTTCTTCAAAGGTCTCTGATAGGCCAGAGATGATTAGCACTTTACACTCCTCCTGGGTTGTACCTAGCCCCTCTCCTTCCCATTCTCAGCACACCACTGGCCTGCCCTCCTCTCCAAGATCTAACGTAGACATTGGCCTATCCCAAACAAAAGGTTCATCACCATCTGTAATCAAACACAAAGGTTTAGAGAGAGGACATCCACAGCAACGTAGCCAATCCTGTCCAAGAACTGGAGAATCCAACCACAAGCTATCCTCTACTCAACACTCTGTTTCTTCTTTGGCTGGTAACAGGGCTACTTCTCCTAAACCCAATGGGGAGTGGGTGAAACACAGCCCCAGCCAATCAGAACATCCAGCTTCAGCTGTGGGTCACAACCGAGAATGTACAGAAAAATCCTCCGCAATTTCTAAAAGGGGTGAATCGACGTTAGATGTGCCGTCATACAAGAGGCCCTGTGTAGAGAATGGTCACCAGTCTGGACACTTGTACCTGCCTCAAAGTGATGCTTACCTAAACCACAGTTTGGCTTATGCTAATAGATTTCTGCACTACCCAATGCCTGATGGTATGACACTACACTCCCTACCAATTGCAGGGAAAGGACCAGTTTACCCTCATCAGGTGTTGCTTGGTAACACCAACCTTTACCCACCCCATCTTACTGGAAAACATCCTTTACCCTATCACAACCTTCCACCTGGCCCAGCTGGGGAGTACCTGGCTTATAACTCACAGGAAATGGCCCATCCTCTGATGCCCACTCACCCAGAAAAGCATTCAGGAGTAAGAGATGCAAATTTAAGGGCACACGGACAGGAGCAGTCACAAGGTGGTGTTGAAGAACATGGGGTTCACAGAGATCATAATATAGTGAAGGAGATAAGTGAAGAAAGTCAAACAAAGCAGGCACGCGATGCAGGCCAAGGACAGAGTTGCAGTCAAAGCAAAGCGGCTTCTTTCGCTGTTCAATCCAGAGAAAAGATTGTATGCATTGACCTTGTGCACTCAGACACAGATGTTGAGACTACCCCACCGATCCAAAAACAACCTCCTAGTGAGCCCAGCACCAAGGTGAACCAAAAAGACAGTTGTCTTGATAATCAAAATCTGTCAAAAAACGCCTATGAGCCAAAACCCCAAAACAATCTCTACCATTCTTATCAAAGCCATCCATCTAACCACACTGATAAACAGACAGAACTGTCTTTTGGAAAGCCAAAGGCTTCTCAAGGTGCAGACTGTCATGGGGTGACGTCTAGCCCACCCTCCACACCTCCTGGGCAGATTAATGTGGCAGAGGAGAGCATGGATGAACAAAGTCCAAGCCCAGAACCTGAAGACCAAGACCAGAGCACCTTGCGCTGTGCCCGCACATCTGGGGAGCGCAGCGCCGGTAAGGAAAAGGGGGACAGGGACAACAGGGCTCACTATGTCAGTCAGCACTGCACAGACGTGGAAAAGGACACAGAGCACGAAAAGCAGTACGACACTGAAAAGGAAGACAGCATCGTTGACCTTGGAGAGTCGCACGGAGAAGGGGATGAGGAGGACGAAGACGATAGCCACGCCTCATCAAAAGGCTGCCGCAGATCTAGTCTGGCTAAGAGGATTGCCAACTCCTCAGGCTACGTTGGCGACCGCTTTAAATGTGTCACCACTGAGCTATATGCTGACTCCAGCAAGTTGAGCCGCGAACAGAGAGCGCTTCAGGTAAGGACATAAACACTGGCGTGTGTATATAGTGTGTACAATTCAGGATATATGGGCTCAAGGTGGTAGCAGGCCGTAGAGGGGTCATTAAGACCACCATTTCTAATGTGCAGACACTTCAAACATACTTTTGACTTCTAACACCCACACAGAAATAAATCTCTATGGGGCCAATGTCTTTTATTGCCCTGACTCAATATCCACAACTGCCTGTGACATAAACCCTGCATGAAATTGGCATATTCTGCATCACCCACACAGTGCAGATGATACAAATGCTGTCATGCTGCTCGACTGGCCATAGGCTTGATCTTCCCCTTAATTTATCAGTACCTCACTGACCTGGTGCAAAGGCTGGCCCAGGCTCTCTCTCAGGCAGTAAAGTTCAAAGGTTAGCCAGGGCTGCCGTCACTGTATGGTGATTAGCAAGCAGCCACTGTAAAGGTTACTTCTGTACGTGCGTGTTTGTGTGTCCGTACGTGCCTGTCCTTGTGTGACTGCCTTGAGGCTAAAGCATGTGTTAGTGCTGACTGTGCTGTAGAGCAGTGTACTGTAACTTCGAAGCATGACTGTGGCAGCCTCACAGTTCACACTGCCTTCGGCTATGCTTAACCCCAAGGTTAGGGGCAGTGGAGGGCCTGCAGTGTGCACGAAATCCAGCAGCTGCCCCTCTTAGGGGTTTGTCTTAGGCTTTCTGCATGCCTCCCCCAACTGCCAGTTGCTATCCTCCTCCCCCAATGGCCAATGCTGCCCTGCTTGGTTGATGTCCAAGGTCACAATTTTCCTTCCCCTCACCAATGTAGCCAAACGACCCTTTCTGCTATGACACACATCCTGCTACATCAATATGAACGCATCACTTGCCATTTTAATCCACAGACTGAGCTGTTTGCTGTAGAGCGTCATCTCTGGTTACATATGCTCAAAGTTTAACATAGAATCTACAGCAAACCTTCTGCTCCGCTCATGCTCTGAGGCAGATATGTAAATAGGTTGCACATGTCTGTCTGTGTTGTGAATGCACTCGAGAAAACTGTGGTTTTGTCTTTGTCGTGCTCATCAATGCACAGCTGCAACGCACAGCTATTAAATGCGCCAACAAATGTGGAACAATTATGTCAGAGGGAAACAAAAAAAAAAAACAAGACATCAAGATGACATGAACTTTGAAAATCACGCTTCTCGTAGACATGTTGTGATTTCTTTTTTTTTATTTCTCACATGCATTCACAGAGTATTTGACAGTATATGATGTAGCGATTACAATTGACATGATGAGTCACACTGTGTTGTTTTTTGTGGGTTTGTGGTTGCCTATTTTGTGTTTAAAAAAAAACATGACAACAATTGAATACAATCAAAGATGAAATGATGGACAGATATATTGAGCCCCCCGTTCTAATTGCTTAGATGGAAGTCATATCACGAGAGGGCAGTATTATAAGTCAACCTGCAGCTAACTGGGAGGTCAGTTCTTTACATTTCTTATCATATCTGCCTCTGATGGGCTCTGTCTCCTTCGTATCGCTGCACACTTTGTTTTCTCCCCCGACTCCCTTCTTTCCTGTTTCCTCTCCTCTCTCTGCCTCAGGGCTTAGATGTATGTGTTTCTTAGCCATGTTTATGTTTCAGGAAGGCAGAAGCCAGGACTTAAAGCCCAGAGCACATGGACTCACAGTGGCTGCAGTAGTCTAACCTTTGTCTCTTAATGCCATGCTTGTGATTTATCCGTCTTTCTTTTTGTCCTGTGTGTGTTTGTGTGTGTATGTGTGTGGGTTTGATTCTCTGGCATTTTATTGGATTTTAAGACAATGTGATTTCTAATCTTTTTTTTTTTTTTTTTTTGCTTCTGTAGCTGTTGAGGCCAGATTGAGGCTTAGAGAGGTGTGTTTGTGCACAGTACTGGTGGACAATGAGTGGTTTTCATGGGTTTTCTCTGCATTTGTGTATGTGTGCGCACAGCGAGCAATGATGCGGTTCTCGGAGCTGGAGCTGAAGGAGAAGGAGGGCGGCGGTGTGTGTGTGTCGGCCCCAGCAGCAGGAAGGGAGCTGGCAGACAGCCAGCGCAGAGAGCGAGCGTTGGAGCACTGCCAACACGCCACCAGGCAGGGAGAAAGGGAGGGTGAGTAACTCGGCACCACAGACGCACGTAACATACACACAGGTTTGCGCAGCTCTGCTTATTGGGAAACGACAATGGGTACTGTTTAACAGAGCCAGAACCTCATCCTGAACCATCACTGAACCACAACCAGTTAATATTTATATTTGCATAACTTTAATTCCCACCTTCATTCTGACCACAGGGTCAAATTGTGCAACTTCTTACCTAGTCCTAACATGAAAAAGGCTACTCCTGAGTTCACCTGTTGACCTATCCATCGCACATCTCTTTAAGTTTAACAACAATTCTGCACCCTTTGAGTCTCATTACTGCCACCTACAGGGTTGATGTAAGACAAAAGGAAAACATTACAAGCTATAGTATAGTACCATAGCACAGAGTTGCTGCTGATCTTTGGAACTGTATACCTTTAACTTACGCATGGACCTTTTACAGCTTAGGCACTAATTTGAAAACACAATCAAAAACCTTTGCACTTAACTGCAACTGTCTTGTAAAACTTTTGGACACCATTTTTTGCTGTGATGCCAAAAAGGTTCCCATATAAACCATTACACATGCACGTTAATGCATGCACACACATGGAACGATCCTGCAAATGCTGACTTGCAGGGACACACTCACAAATAAACACATAGTCGGGCCTTGTACATACTTGCTTTCAATGGCAGCCACGGCTCTGGTGAGACCAGGTCACTCTATAAAAAGACCAACTTTGACACACAAACCTAACACATGTACACGCACGTGCACACTGGCAGACACACTTTTCCTGTGCCCTAGCCAGGCTTTGCCAGAGAACTGAAGAGACAGAGGGGGAAGTTTTATTTTCAAGAAGCCTTTTGTGCTTATCTGCGCTGAGAGATGATCGAGAGCACAGAGAGATGAGGGAGGGGCCGAGATTGCGTGTGAGAGAGTGAAAGCGAGGGAGGGGGCAGTGAGCGGGTGAAAGCGGATGGGAGAGAGCAACGGAAAGAGAGCGAGAGGGAGAAAGAGGAGGGGGGTTAGTTACGTTGGCCGTGAGCCCAGCTGTGTGTTGGAGTGAGGCCGTGGCTGACGTGTGAGCCTAATTATGGAATAGAGAGAGAGAGAGAGAGGGACTGGGGGCAGTGTAGATCGGAGAAGGGGGAGGCGTCGGTGGTTAGAGTCACGCTCTCTGTGAGAAGGGCGTGGCGCGGTCATGCCTTGGGAGAATGGGGGGGTAGTGGTGGAGGGTGAAGCTACAGTGCGCAGTGAGCGGGCAGGATGTTTTCTTGCCTCTCTCTCGCTATCCCTGGCTGGAATTGTGCGAGCGGTTGCGCTCAACTGTCAGGCTGCTGGCTCGGCTCACATCAGATTAAAAAGTCTTTAACCCATCAAAGTTTTACTGCCTGTCTTTAAAGCAGAATGAAAGCTGGCTGGTGTTTAACTGGCGTTCTCCCTCTGTCAATCCCTCCCACCCTGTCTCACTCCTGCCCCCCACCCTACGTGTCCATCTGTATTCTCTCTCCGTATGTCTGCCTTCATTTCATCTGCTCTTTTTTCTTTTTTTTCTCTCTTTTTTAACTCCCCTCCCCCATTTCCTTCCTCTCCCTGTCCTTCTGTCTCTCCAATCCTCAGGTGTTCGGCCTGTGTTCACCAATAACAGAGTTCCAGTCCTCCAGAGGTGTGGAGGTCAAAGGGAGGCTCTGTCCCCAGTGCAGGGCCCCCTCGACGGGTCTCGAACTACCAGCCACGGAGGTCTAAAGGATGGAGTCAAGAGGCCAGGGAAGGAGTCTGACGGAGGCCACTGCATGCCACCGATTCTGACACCAGTGAAACCCTATGCTGACGAGAAATCCACTCCTGGTTTTGGACCTCTAAGGAAACGTTCAAACGTCAAAGCTGAGCCGGAGATCGCAGAGAAAGAGGAAGCAGAGCGGAGCTTCCATCCGGAAAAAAGACCCAAGATTTGTATGGGTGAGAATTCACAAGTTATTAAAATATTGTTTCAATAAGAATTATGCACAAAGTGCTGTTTTTTTAAGAGGAAGAAAAAAAACAGTTCAAATTATATGCACTAATCTGATGTGAGCGGTACAAGAGAGCTTAATGAGTTCGATTGCATAGGTCCAAGTTGGCTGACATAACCTGAAACCAGACTCATACATAAACCAAACCCAGCTGTCCAATACATGTCTTGTCCACTCATATAATTTGTCATATTTCGTCCTTTATGATCTATTTTCCTTTTAATAGGAGAGTACTGTAAAAAATGAACACCATGGAACCATGGTTTTGTCTAGGGAGTCACTAGTGGCTACAGTTGTTTGTGTCAATATCTTGTTTCTCCTACAGATTCCTCCCCACCTCCTGACTCTTTATCTTGTGAGATTCAGAGCTGTGGTCGTCCCGTGTCCCTTCTTTCTCCTCCTTTTGATGCTTTTTGCCATCCCAATTAATTCCACCTTAAACCCTCTCTGTCACTACCCACACCCAACCCCCTCCTTCTCACTCTCCGTCCCGTCTTTCAATCTGTGTGGCAGCCAGCTCGCAGAAGTGTTTAATCCTGCCTTTGAGCTGTGTGCGAGGAAGAAGCGGGGAGAAGGGACAGCCTTTCTCCTGCGCTGTCTCTCTGTTCTTTCAGCTCTGTCCTGCCGCCGCCGCTCGTCCCCCGCTGTGCTCACCCAGCCTCTTCATAGCTGCTCTTTTCTTCTCTTTTCATCTTCTTTCTTTTTTTTCCCCTCATCTGTTTGGGTTTCCCGTCTTTCTTTTTTTGCTCCGGCGAGCAGTATTATGCATGGTTTCTGCGGCGCTGGCAGACAAGTCAAATACCCGTTCCCCTGTGAATTTCAAGGAGAGATCTCTCCCTCTGCCTTTCCAGATTTTATCGCTTTGTTTCTCTGCCCAACTCTTGACTTCTCTGGCCTTTTAACTACCCAATCTGTCTGTGGGACAGGCCCTCCTTTTTTATTCTCAAGTGCAGGGGTGTGTTTACTTTAAGGCATTCAGGAATAAGCTTTACGTCATTGAGATCTAGTAATTTTGCCTTAGTATTAATACAATAAGCTAAGGCTGATATTTGTATACAATATTTTGAAGAAAACCCTTATTAGGTTTAGGTTAGGTTATTACGTTTTTTTTCTGTAAGCAAGCAAATTTAACAAATAGATCTGCTTGCTTACAGAAAAAAACAAGCAGGTGTCACTGTCTTTTTTTAATGATGGCAAAAAGTGTTTTCTTTTTTCCTGTAAGGCAAGACAAAACACATTTAACCTCCATACAATTTTGCAGATGAACAGGCCAGCCTTGTCGAAGATGAAGACGACGAGGTGCGAAAGCTCAAGGTCTGCATTGAGCTGAAGGGACTGCGTCTCAGCAAGCCATCGTCAGGTGCTGCCTCACCTGACAGATCCCACATAAAACAGGAGAGAATGTGGCCCCAGTCCAGATTAGTCGCTCAGGCCCAGAGCTTACGGGATCGCAAGATCAGGCCGGGAGAGCATGAAGAGCGAGCAGCGGCGGCGGCGCAGAGAGCTGAGATCAACAGGAAGTGGGTCAGCGAGAAGCTACTTAATGGTAAGAATGAAGCGCCAGCCATACCTCCGTATCTCCGAGTTCAACTAGGGTAACGGAAATCTATCTTTGGCTCATGTTTCACTTTCTTGTTGAGCATTGTGTCTTAAGGGGATTTCCTGGGAGCCTTAGGGTAGGCAGTAGAGGAAACAAGGTAGAAGCACGCTTCCTTTTTCCACAGGAAAGGATGGGAAATCCGAAGTGGACCAGACCAGAGGCCCCCACCCCACATTCTATTGTAGTGTTTGGGCCTTTGTTCCACTGGTCACCGTGGGCTTTAGGAGTGCGATAAAAGAGTATAAAAGGAAGTGGCTGCAGGAGAAGTGTGTGGGCAGGTTTAGTGTGACTAATGTGTGATCAATGGTTTTTATTTTTTTTCCATTCAAACCACTCATAGGGAGAAGTAGTTGTGTGTATGTGTGTATGTTTATGTTTGGGGGGATAAACCTTATCCAGTCTGGGCTTCCCGTTATTAACGTCCCCAAACAGTCAAAATGAGACATATGCCAGACAAGAGGGAGAAAAAGAGGAGAGAACGATAAAAGGAAGTGAGTTTTTGGTTTCCTACCAAAACCACACGCCCAGAGGAGCTGCCGATTTTTGTGATGTTATTTCTTTTTTTTCACACTTTTGCCTATGTGGCGAACACCTTGGTATCAGCCATGTTTTTTTAGTCACAGCGGTCAATGTAATGTATGCCTGTAGTTAACTAACGACAATTATCTTGTAAAACAATCACCTTTTATCTATAGTCACCTTTGACACAAACTTGCGTACAAAACCAAGTGTGTGAGTGTCTGTCTCTGCGTCTGTTAGTTATGTGACAAAGTTAATGAGTTACTTGTGCAGACACAGAGGCATTGTTTCTTAGCAGGAATAGGCAAAAAACCTGTGGACAAACAATAATCTGTTAAAGTGCATGTGCAGGCACGGCTTTTAAATCGTTGGATCATACGAATGCAAATCCTTATTTATATCGCATTTCAGCAAGTTCTAAGTAAACAACGAGCCTCAAGATGAAAAAGTATTTCCAAGAAGCACCAAAACACCGTTGTGACTTTGTTGTATCAAGGGCAGGTTTTTATTTTTTCTATAAATATGCGCTGTAAGGGTGATCCAAGATGGTGCCACATTTGTTTAGGGAGATTACCCATAACAGTGTCCTTGCTGAAATGGATGAGCGCGCACACAAGTCACAACAGGGGTGTTTATGTGAGCCTGTGATGTGCATGTGAGTTTTTTTTTATTTCCTGCGTGAGCAGGCATGCTGTGCTCCCAGACAGCTCTGTGTGCTCATTAATAAACCAACAGAGGCTGAGAGATGGCCTTGTAATACCTTCCCATCCTCCCTTTCCATTCAGCTCCCACACCATCAGCCGCTCACTCTCCATCTCTCTCTCTCTCTCTCTCTCTCTCTCTCTCTCTCTTCCCTCTCTAGGAGTAGCTTCACCTCCTCTTCCCCCCAGCCAGCTGAAGGACAGAGCCTACCCACTGGATCCTTTCTCATGTGACCGTGGCCTCAAGGAGCCCAGAAGGGTCTCCTCCTCGCCGGCCCCAGAGCCACCTTTGGGAGGTGCCCCTCCTCTCAAGATCCGTCGCCATAGTGACACTGACAAACCCAAGGGCAAGCGACCCTGCAAGACCAAACACACAGGGCAGAAAGAGCGAGAAAAGGAGAAGAGGAAAGACGGCGCCCCCCACAGCCCCGTTCAGCACTGCGAGGCTGATCCTGCAGCACTCGAAGATGACAAGGTGAGTGCTGATAGGTTGTCTGGTCACGATATGGGGTCTGGGTGTTTTTCAGCAGCAGCGGTGAGATTCAGTATGCCTGTCGGCGCCTCTGATTATGCAGCTGGAGCAGGAGAAGGCGGGAGGGGGGAGAAAGGAAGTATGTTGACAATGTTTAGAGGACTGCTGGAGCTTTGACCTCCTCCTGCCCTTAGCGACTCCCTGCGGAGCGCCTGCATGCACGTGTGTTTGTCAATGGCCTTAATTGTCAAACGTGTGTCATCAGCACTGCTGAGCTGTGTAGAGGTAAGTGCCAGCCGGCGCTGTGAATGTCTGCGGGTTTGTGAGCATTCCTGACATAACAACAAACCCCGGAGCAATTATACATCACACTAAGTGTCGAGTAGAAGGCTACACACACATACGTGCACACACACACATGCATACTCCCCCACAGTTAGGAATGTGGCGGCTATGGTCTAGCATGAAGTGCGTGAGTTCAAACAAGAAGGGGAAAAAATATGAGTATTGGGAAAAATTGAGGGGGAAAAAAAGGAAGGCTAGTTATTTTTCCACCCGCGCTGCTCTCCTGCCCTGCTCCTCCTCAGCCTGACAGCTGCTCCAACATGGAATTCCACTGAGAGGGCACACAAATTCTCACACACACACACAAACTCATAGGCAGCCAACTCCCTCTCCTCCTCCCTCTTGAGTGCACTCCCAGGGTTCCGCTGGTTTAGTGGTTGAAGAAAAGTGCCGTGCCAGCCTGCAGTGTTTGAGGCGTGAACAGTTGGTGTGAAAGCTGTGTGTGTGTGTGCCAGCGATGCACCAAGTCTAAGTATGTTCATTGTGTTTTCCAAAGACAATAAACATACATAAACACAGATGTTGCTAATGCAAATTACATGTATGAAATGTTTACTCTGGCGCAAATCAAAAACGTACCTCAAGGAGAAGAAAAGTTGACGTCGTTTGACAGTTTGCTAAGATTTATTTCCAATCTATCAGTGTTATGTGTGTGTGCACCAGGGTCAGATATTAGTGGGACCCTGGGGGCAAAAATTGCCTGAGTAATTTTCATGGTTTTTGCCTTTTATCAGTCTGATAAAGTTAAGTTGTGTAACACCTAAGTAAATGTTCTTCTAAGATGAATCTTTATCTCAAATATAGATATGAGTATATATATAAAATTATTTTATAAAAAGTTATTTTGGCAGCAATTTTTCATTAAGAGGTCCTAATTAAAGAAAAAATCTATAATACAACTTAATATATATGGCGATATATTAAAAAGTATGAAACCGAAAGCTATAAAAGAGCTGTTAGCCAAACATATTTAAAGAAATAGAAAAAGCGTGGGATAAATTAATACACATTGACCTTAATTAGCCCAAAATAAACCGCCTATTTTTCTTGGTCAATTTACATTCACCAAGAAATAGCTAACACTTGGCCAAAAAGAAAAATGGGAAAACAAAAGGATGCCAAAACATCTGAGAGTCAGCAGGTTTACACAGGAAAAACTGAATAGTAAACCAATACATAAAGGCACAATAAGGTGTATATGGTGAAAATGTGTCGGCAAATAAATGGTGTCCCTATCTAACCCCCTGCCCCCTCTCTCTCCCTCCCTCTCAGCCGACTGAACAGCACATCGCTCAGAGGAAGAGAGCTGCTTCTCCTAATCACTATCCCTGCTCTCCAGTCAAGCCCTGCTCCCCCGCTGCACTCTGTCCGCCCTTGCTGCAGCCGCAGGTTAACGGCAGAGCAGGCAGTGTCCCACCAGAGGCAGCCGTGGTAGGAGTCCTCCGAACCCCCCCTGCTGAGTCTCCCACAGTGCGTCCAATCCCACCGGAGGCCCGACGGTTAATTGTGAACAAGAACGCCGGAGAGACTCTCCTCCAGAGGGCAGCACGGCTGGGCTATGAGGTAATGCTCTCCATTTTCTCACCTGATCACGTCCTCTACTCACACTGATAATTGTTCACATGTCGGAGAAAAAACTACAACCGTAGTCACAGTAGTACATTGGATGCCATTCTGTGTTTTCAAACATACTTACACAGAAATAAAACCGCAGCTTACGTCCCGATGTGAGAGGACGTGAGTGTGAAAAAAACAAAATGCAGATATACTCTGTCATTGTCACAGAGAGCAGGTGTGTGTATGAAGCAGGAGGTATTAAACTGCAAATAGTCAATAGAAAGGTCAAGCTTTATATTGCCTAATAGAGGAGCACTTCATGAAAGTGATCTTGGTATACCCTCACCATTAAAAAATATATATTTATTTTATTTGCTATCTTTAAAGTGAAATCAGATGTTATTTCATATAATCAAAGTTGAACTTAATTTGCATTTGCATGATATTTGAAGCTGTAGCTGTCAGTGTTTCTGAAGTATATAAAAACAATCTAATCAAGAGAAAATAGCTAAAATGTAGCTAATATATCAAGTGTTAAAGTGAGGCTAGAGTTGGCAAAAGTTAGGTAAAAAGGAAGATGCAAACATTTTGGAGTTCACTGTTAGCCATCTAAAATCCAAACATTTTTAATAAAGTCCAAGTTTTTACAAAAGCAGAGTACTTCAGTAATTCAGCACTCATCACAGAGAAACAGCATATCCCTGCACCACAGTAATGCACAGTCAATCCTGCAAAAAAACACAGACGGTTTTTGCAAGCATTTAAAGCTTAAATAGATATTGACAGGTTTAATTGAGGCATTACTCGCAGTTCCATCGGTCTCCCTCTTTTCTGTTCTCTCTCTCTCTCTCTCTCTTACTTTGTTTCTTTCTCTTTTTCTTAATTATTATTCTTAGTCTTTAATCTTTCTGTCATTTATTTTTTGTCCACTTTTTTCTGTTTCATGGTACTTTACACACTTTTTTTTAATCTTTCTGTTTTTCACGTCTTTCAGTCCTTCTCCCCTCTCTCTCTTTTTCTCTCT